GTGCCCTCAGCATCAATGCAATCCCCGGTGAAGCCGGACAGCGGGGTACGCAGAGGGTGCAGCATGTCCTTCTTGAGCTTCATTCCCTCGAAAGCCTCCCAGTAGAGGACGTTCACACTGCTCCCAGTATCAACAAGGACGCGGCGGACGATGGCCTCGTTCACGTCCATGTTGATCACCAGCTCGTCTCTGTGCGGCGCTGGTGACATCGGCAGATCGGCGGGACCAAAGGTGATTGCCTCAATCTTGTTGCGCTTGGTGGGGGGTGCTGATACGGAACCCACGTAGAGTGATCTCTCGAATTTTTTCCGCTCGGCAGGTGTATCCCCTGTCTCAGCGCCCCCGAAGATCACCTTGATCTCCAGCTTCTTCTTTTTGCCCTTCGGGCCAAGGCACCCTTCCGGACGTTTGTCCGCACTCCGATAATCCACATCCTGGGGCTCTGCCTCGCGCCGGTCGTCGCGGCGCCATGTCCGGGGCCTTGGGTTCGGCTTCTGCTGGCTGTTTTTGTTCAACAGCTGGGTGAACTCACCCAAGTACCCCTGACGAATCAGCTCGTCGATCGCTTTCTTTAGTTGGCTGCAATTGTCCGTCAGGTGGTCGGCCCTCTGATGGTATTCACAGTAGGCCGATTGGTCAAGTCCCATATGCTTCTTCATATCTTGGGGTTCCATCAGGAGACCCTTGTCCTTGATGGCCTCAAAGATTTGGCTCACTAGATAGGCCAATGGGACATAGCGGTCATCCAGCCGCGTCTGAATATCTCCGGCCGAAGCCTTCCAAGGGACCATTGCCCCGTCCGCCTTCTTCTTTTTGTTTGGGGGGCGGGGGGGCGGTCTGGGTCCGAGCCTTTCCGCCATCTTCCGTGGGTGGGCCGCGGGAACTCCGTCCCGCTGCCTGATCTCCTCCTCGATGGAGGCATACTTCTGGGCCCGAGCCAGAACCTCGGCGTAGCTGGTGCCGGGGTTTCTCCTCAGGTCCCGGTACAGATCTCCGGTTGCTAGGGCACTGGTGAACATGTTCGTGGCCAGACGTTCGTCCAGATCATCGACCTGCAGGACTTCGTCCCTCCACCTTACCAGGAACCTAGCCAGCGGTTCGTCCCGCCCCTGTTTGATGTGGACGAGAGCCGTGACGTCCTTCCTGGGGGTGGTGCTGGCAGCGAATTGGGCCATGAACTGCCGGGAAAGCTGTTCATACGAGTCGATGGTGCCCGGCCTCAGCTGGCCGAACCACTCTTGCGCCGGCCCCCTGAGGGTGCTGAAAAACAATCTGCAGATGGCCTCGTCCGATGCTCCCAGCATGGACAGGTTTCCTTGGTAGCTAATCAGATGGGCCTTGGGATCACCGGCCCCATTATACACCAAATTGCCCGGGGGCCTGCAGTCCCGGGGAATCTCGACGCTCATCACCCGGGGGGTGAAGGGTGATGTGAGAGAGAACGAGGGCGTGGCCGAGCCGACGTCCGTCCGTCTGTTCATCTCAGTTATCTGCTGCTCCATTGCTTCCAGCCTGGCCTCCTGTGCGCCCCTTCCGGGGGACACAGGGGGCACGGCCTCGAGAGCCGCGTTTCGCTGAGCGGCCACAGCATCGTGCGCCGCCTAAGGATCTGCGCACCTCGCCGCTGGAAGCGTCGTCCAACGGTGTTGATCCTTGGGGTTTCGTCCCCTCGCGAGACTTGGCGGGGAACTGATGGCGTGTGCGTCCTGAGAGCAGCGATGCTGGCCTTGGTTCGCCCTCCCGTTCCACGGGAGCCTGAACCTCCACCTAGCCGCTCATGGACCGAGGGCCGGTGGTCGCTGGACCCTATCGTATCATCATACGACTGCATACGGCGGATGGGAGAGAGGGGTGTTCGCTGGGTGCTTGCAGAGTACACCTGCTCTTGAGCCTCCCGTTCGTCTGCCAAACGGCGCATGGTGTCGGCAAGCTCCCGCATGAGACGGGGATCCTGGCTGGCCTCAAGGGGAATGAGGTCAGTGATACCCCCGTTTCCCCCGGAGGTCCAAATCGTCGCGGACAGTTCCGAGTTCTGGCCGCGATTCCGGCGGCTCGATTTCAGACGCTCGGAGAGGTCATGCTGGTTGTTGCTTCCTGACATCGTGTTTGCTGTAGGTGGATTTAGTAGCTGTTTGGGAGAGTTTCTGGAAACTTTTTGATCAGCTTCCCACAGACGGCGCCAGTGTTGAGGTTTATTCCTTCAACCCTCAGGCCCAACACGTAAGCCCAAAGATTTCGAGTGGAGTGATTGTATGTGTATGTGAATATCTAGCCCAACAACTATCAGATGGATCAGGAACAGAGGAAATAGCAGGCAATGTAAATAGGTATTATTAACTTCGTAATAACTCCCCTAAGTACAATCTACTTGCTAAAAAAGGCACGTCGGCCGTTCGTCTTACGAGGTAGTGTAGATGCTACAGGTAAGAATGCTATAGCTAGAATGCTCAGAATAGAAAGTTGTCAACCCTTTACAATGAAATAAATGCTTCTATTTATACCCACCAATGGGCAGGTGGCTATGCTGACGTGGAGGCCTGTGGACCGCTGGTGTCCCAACCACCAAATCTTCAGCATTAAATGCACTTCCCGCCAGAATCTAGGTTTCCCGCCTAAATAGTGGGGACGTTCGTCCGCCGGGGAGGCGGGCTGGATTGCTCCAAGTGACCCTCAAGAGGTTTCAGCTGTTCGTCTCCTGGCCTTGATGGATATTCACCACGTGGACTGGGCTTTCCCCGATGACTATAGGCTTGCTCTGGAGACGCTCGTCGTCATCCCTGGTGGCCCGTGGTCCTGCTCCTTGTCCCCGCATAGACGTTCGTCGGGATGAGCCGTTGGGCCTGAACCCCCAACCCCAGACGTTCGTCCCCCCTCAAGGAACATGGGCCTGCGTGCTAGCCTTGTGTTCTAACTGGACGTACGTCTGGTAAAAAGGGGTTAATGGGCCGGACCTCGGCTTGGGCCATTAACCCAACAGTATACAATTACATTTTTTGTATTAGTTAAGAGTTTAACCAACAGAGGAGGCTAATAATCTATGGCAGCTTGATACCCCTCTATGTTTTTGTATACAATACACGTTGATAAAAATCAGCTTCTACTTTTATATAGTAAAAGGAGCCGCCTTTCTGTTTCTAAGAATTACTTCACGAGATTTGTCTATGATCTAGGAGTGACAGAGGTGGCAGTATATATTTTTTTACGGATCTTAGGAGCCGGTTGTCCTTGATCCTTTTACAAAACCCTCTTGTAGAATCCACTCCTTCAATTCTCCTAAACAAATTAGTCAAAAACTGTTTATTTTGAATTTTAGCTAATCATATTTTGCCTACAGAAACTTTGAATTTTAGCTAACCAAAATCTACTTGGTAAAAGTACATTTTCGGCTTCATGCTTGGAAAAGCCTTTTGAATTTTAGAGGATAATAAACGGTGTTGTTGAATGCACCAAACTCACACAAAAAATCATAGTTAAATGTTTGACACGAGCTTCAAGCGTTATCTCGGCTTTCAGGTCCCCTGAATCTTTAATAGCAATGGAAAATAAATGTTGGAAGCTTGCACAAATTTATCAGCGGGTGAAAGAGCGGATACGAGTGATTGAACTAACTTGAGGTCAGGCTTATAACTTTGCCTACTTCATATTTCATTTATCCTTTAAAAAAGCCTATACTTTGTAATTATGTTGGTTTCAATATTAAATGTTTGATTTGAACTTCAAAAGTTACCTCACGCTTTCAGGTCCCCTGCTATTGTGATATTAGACCCGATGAAAATTAAAGGACGGAAACTTGCTCAAAGCTATCAAGTGAAAGTGCATAGGCTAACTCAAGGTTAGGCTTAGAGTTTTCGTCTATTTAATATAGTATTTCCTATATCCTTTTACAAAGTCTTACTTATAAATATGTCGATTTCAGTTTTGCCTGTGTTCAAAATTTCATTTTTTATTAGTGATTTAAGTTGATTTGGGAAATGAAATATTGTATGCGGGTTCTAACCCAATTATTGGGGAGTTCCTCTACTGTTTGAAAAAATAAAATAGCAACCCTTCTGCCCATTCTTAATCCCCGAATATGCTAACAAACTCTTGCTCTGTTTTTTTAATTATTTTGTCACCCCCATTGTCGATGTTTGTGCAATCTTTGCAATCATTGAACAACTCTTTTCCCGTTTCGATTTTTTTTTAAACAATACAATTGTGTGCCTGCATGATTGAACTACCGTTTCCTCTGTTTTAAACTGTTTTTTCCCATTTTTTTGCTTTTTCCTATCGTTGGGCACGGATATCGCGCAACGCGCGTTCCCGCGCTAGTATCTATATATGATCAAGTATAAACTTAATTGAAATGTTAGAATTCAACTAGTGTTTTTTTTCTTGCTGAAACGTATGCGTCTAAAAAATCTTTATACCGGTGTAATATTTTAATAACAATTTATTAATTTAGTAGTTTTTACTGAAAAAAGATAACTATATAATATCTTGGTCATTTAATAGTTTTTTATTGGGATGACAAAAGTGCATATTCTTGCATAAATTTATGCTCCATAATATCTGAAATTGTAGTTTTAATGTCATTTTGAACACCCAAAAGATAAGTGGTAGATCCGCCACTGATATTCAAGTAGATCTCTAGCAAGCTTTAATTTCATTCATTATTAAAAAGAAATAGGTTTCTCAAATTGCAAGGAAGATATGGACTTCAGCTTTTAATTAATTTAACACTTGTAATTGTTGTTGTCTATTTCACAATCGTTGTCTCTTTTGTTTTGTGTTCACTACCCAAAAAGGAAAATATGCTTATTATTAAGAGAAATCAATATTTAGTGATCTTTTTACCAAGAAATATTTAGTGATCTTGAAAGACACGATCTCCCGTACTAGTTCATCAACACCAAAGACATAATTGTAACTTCTAATCAAACATTCCTTGAACCGCAGTCCCGTGTGCAATCAGATAGTGATTGTTGGAGACAGTTTTGGAAAACAAAAGATAATAACTTGATGGTAAGCAATTGCATTTTGTAATTGAAGTCTGGTAAATAAAGTTGTAACCTCTGAAATTTACTTAAGAACAAATCTATAATTTTCCTATGAACAATTTACCTAGGGATGGGATGACCGGATGAGAAATGCCAACTAAGGTTGATGATCATCGCATAACTAAGCAGCAAAAGGAACTGTCTACACTGACATGTGAATAACAGCTTTATGTCAGATGGAGTCAAGCTAAGTTTCAGAAAATGTAACTTTTTTCCTGCAGTTGTTTCTGACATCATGTGACCTCAAGAGTATGTGTTCCAAATTTAGTGATCATAAGGCGAGTGTCATTACACAATCCGGAAGAACGATCAATATTTCTCATTAACATAACATATGCACCCACTTTCAACTTCAACTCATGGCTTGGCACACCAAAGCATTTAATGGTATTGAGAAATTGTGAAAAAAATAGGTCTCTGGATGGAGTGCACTATCTGAGTCAGAAGAATATGTTGAATCCGTATTTAAGTATGTCTTTACCACAACATATAACCGTTGATCTTGTCACGTTCATCAATAGCCTAATCAAACGGATCACAAAGCGTTAATTACCAAACAACTAATCAGTTTGCATGTGTTCTCTGATAACTAAATGCATTTTATACTAGAGTTTTGGGATCAAAGTGAGCAAGATTTGTTTTATGTAGCTCTATGAGGATTGAAGATCGTTAATTTAAATAAGTTTACTCAAAATGTTTCTGCCCACAGTTTTTACTTTTGTAAAAGACATGATGATATATTCGTAAAATATTTTTTTAGAATTTTAATTACAATTAAATCTATTCAATTGATCTAATATGTAAAGAGTAAAACCTTATTAAATGTTACGTTTTTAATTTAATTAATATCACAACAAACTTTGATTTATTTTTATGAAAGCTGTGAAAATTGCAATGTGCTGAATAGTTTCTAATGTTTGGGAAGGTAGAAGTGCATATAGTAATGCTAACAATAGGCTGGTTTATAAATCCTATATAGGTTGTATTCACATAAAATTTAGGAATGTTTGACTTGTGTTTTGACATTTGTCACGCAATCTACTTATTGTTTTGTGAAAAATATCAAATATTATATCAATGTTGTTCCTCAATATATTTTTCAATCTTGAAAAGAATAAAAAGTTTAGATGGATTTAAAAATTGCCCATGTACCCTGAATCTTTTATTTTCTTCAAGAAAAGTTGTCATTACTTTATGACTTTATGGCAATGAAACCTGCAAGACATATTGATGATTGTATATCCATACTACCTATGTTCTTAAAATAAGTGCAATATGTTGAATTTTACATTATTCACATGTTCTACTTTGACTACGTTTAATTAAATAACGTATTAATATATTTTCTTGAAAAGAATATTGTTAAATTTCTCTCATTGTAAAATTTCAAAATCTATTTTTTTAATCTTTTTTACTAAAAAAGAATTATATATATTAATGGTCAAAGTTATGTCTCGACAAGTGTGAAATGTTGACCGTTGCACTTATTTAAGAACGGAGGAAGTATATAAGAAGCTATAGAATATAAAAAAATCTTCAGCAACATATTGCTTTTCCCACCTGTAAGATGTAATCAAGTATGTATTGTTAGTGTAAATTAGCGTAACACACTTACACATAACTTTGTAACATTAACTAGTTTTTTACAAGTGCATTGCGCGATTAGGAAATTGCCCAATGATTTTTTGTTAGAAAAATGTGTATTGAATCTTGAGTAAATTCAATTACTTATAAAAGTTTTCTTATTGACAGTTATAGTTGCCAAGAAACACAGTATCTAACATTCCTTAATAAGTTTTCAAAAACAAATCCTTCATACTGAAAGATTCCAAAAATAAATAAATAAAACTAAATGAAAACTATGTTTTCTCATCCACATGACCACATCTGAAAAACTTAATGAGATTAAAATATACCTAGTACATGTTTATTGGTAGTACTTTTGTGAGCAATTTCCTAAAGGAACATGGAATATAATAAGAAAAACTATCTCTAAAAGCTTATTAAGAAGTGTCTTCATGCTTTCCTCATGAATCTTGGATTATTCTCTATTCAAAATGAATGTTTTTAAAGTGGGAAAACTGTCAAATAAAACCCTTTACTTTTCAAAAAAATCAATTAAACCCCTCTACCTAAAATTCATTCAATCAAACCCTCAAACTTATTAAAAATTGGCAAATCACTCTTTTTTACCGGTAATGCACCGAGTTACCGACTACTGTATACATGGCCGTCTTAGTTTTCGTATTACCTTTTTTCTTTTTCTTTCTTTTTCTTTTGCTTTTGCTTCCTTCTCGCCCCTTCTCGCATACCAGGTGGATGCACCACAGACCAGATGCGTAACTAGCCATGGATGCACCACCGTGGCTGAGCAGATGGATGCACCACCGTATCTGACCCGCGGAAGTTCTCATCAACGACGCTATTTCGCTGGCCCATCCCCGGTGACGCGCTCTCCCCTCCAAGCTTTCAAGCAACACCTTCGCAGATACATTTCGGAGCCCCGAAAAATCGTCGGTTGCCATCGATGTTGGAATTTCGAATTGAAGACGGGTCTCCAAGCTTCAACTATCGGAATTTAAGATGGGAAACCCAAGTTAAATCCAGGGTTAAAAATCATCTAAATTGATTATATGCTTGCGTTGGGGAAGTTCTGGGCGACGGGAGCAACGATGGACATCTCGACGGTGAAGTTGGGTTACATCGTTGGTTTTTCAAGACAGGAAGCTGCAGGTTGGGAATTAAATCCAGAAGAAAACCAAGTTTCAGTCCAGGAGAAGAAGAAAATAACAGGGGAAGGAAAAGAAATAAAGTAAAAAAGAAAACAAAGGAAAGGAAAATCCTGCCAGGAAGGAGAAGAGAACTTCCGAGGAAGAAAATTACAGGAAAAAAAGAAGGAAACAAAAATGGAACGGAGGGTGGAAGGAGAAGGGCAGAGGAGAACGGAAAGTAGAGAAAAACAAGGGGAGCGGGAGGGGATGACCGGTTAACACGGTTCATTACAGGTTAAAAAGTGTTATTTGGCTTTTTTTAATGAGTTAGAGGGTTTAATTGAACAGATTTTCAGTTGGAGGGTCTAATTGATTTTTTGGAAAAGTAGAGGGGCTTATTTGATAGTTTTCCCTTTTAAAGTTTTGCCTTGGAATTATGGGTGGCAAATGGATGATTTGAGAAATTATTTTTAAATTATAATTTTATGATGGATGGATTCAAAACAATCCATTACTTTGTTTTTATCTATTAAAATCAAATGCATCAACGGCTCATTAAAATTTAAAACATCTCAAAGTGGATTCCAAGAGTCTAAATAGGATTTAATTAAACTATTAAATTGTTTAGAAACAAGTTAACGGGGCTTGAATGCTTAGGTTAACAGAGCAATGTTCTAAGTATACACATATAATCAAAATTGTACAACTCCTAATTATACACATATAGCAACAAATTTACACCAACATTTTTAAGGTATCAAATTATACCCTTACCTCTATTCATGTTTATAAGATTGTACATAAGAAATGCAATAGGTCTTCCCGAACTACATGTCTACAGGAAATAAGTGTTTTTCAACTTTTGGCTTCAAAAATTGAAATAAGTGTTTTCAAATGACAACTTCTATTTAAATTAAGCACTTAAAAGCTAAAAGTTGGAAGCATGTAGAAGGTGCTTTAAACTGTTTTTCACTTTTCTATTACACAAAAAGCAATTATTTTACCAAACATACCAACTTTTACTTTTTCAGAACCACTTTTTTCTCACACACTACCAATTTTTACTATTAATTACTTTTTCAAAAATCACTTTTTTGAAGTACATCTATCTAAGGGAAACAAGAAAGTCAGTAATTTAATTTCGGGCACAAGTCATGTAGTGATGCTCCCTCAAATTCTAACAGTCCATTAAAAAATGCAAAAACCAGCTACCAGTGCTTCTTTGGGATGTAGGAAAAAGAAGACAGAAAATTCTTCAACCAGCGACAGACTTGGAAGGAAAACCAGCTGCTGCCACCTTGCTTCATTTCTTTTCAGCCTCTATTTTTTACTTAATTGTAATTAGGCCCCTCCAGCTATATTTCTTTTCCCACCTTGGTCAATATCATGGAGAGTACCTCTAAACAGGGACGGATCCAGGATTTTGACCCAAGGGGGGCGAAATCTTTGGTTACAAAATGCAGCATATTTTCTCGTAGAATGTTTAAATTACAAAATATAGCATGTTTCTCCGTCTTGACAAATGCAGAATATTTTCTCTTTGGTGGGTCATTACTTGGTAAAGTTCTCTTGAAATATGAATCAATCGTATTATTATTCATAACTGAAAATAGAAAGAATCATACACTTAGTCACTTAGGCATTTCAAATAAGTAATTAATTAACTAATTAAGTAAATAACAAAATCACATATTCACAGACTTTTTAAATAACTCAATTCAAGGAAAAGTATATTATGACCAATAATATTATAAACTAAAAAAATTAATACAAAAAGTATAATAAGATTTAATTTAAGACAAACCTGCCAACTGCTAAGCTCACTTAGACGCCCAAATTGAAGCAACAGAGCAAATCAGCGAGCCAAGAACTCCACAAGCAAAATAGACTATCGAGTATTTCCCCTTAATTTTGATTTTGGAACTCTAAAGACAGATGCAAACGAGCAACAAAGCAAGATTCAGTGAAGTAAATAATACATATACTTTAATACTATTTATTTTTAAAAAAACATCAAACAACAAAGAGATTAATCAATTTACCATTTTGGGTAGATGGTGAGTTGCTGTAAATCGATCTGTAATGGGTGCTCTGTGCCTCTGTTCGGCTATTCCAGGTTTCCAGTACTCCTCAGAAAGTCTGATGGCCAGAGAGATGAAGAATCGGCTAATCGGGCGAATTGCTTAGCTTCTCTAGCCTCCAGGTGCTTGGCCAGTTGGCCGGATTGCCCGGATTGCCTGCGTAGCAATTAGAAAATTAGGGTGAGAGCTGCTGCTTAGTGTTGTTCTCGGTTTTGAAATGTCAATGGGCTGCCTAACTTTGTTTTCATTTAACAATTAACAACCCTACAATTTTTACTATTATATTTGTGGCCTAAAACTATTAAGAATATAACATTCTAGCCAATTAATCTAAATGATCAATACTACTCCGTACTTGTTAAAATATTATTACAGTTTTGAAACTCTACAACTAAAATTAATTTTAATTATACTATATGGTAATTCAAAAAAAATTATAAGCCAAGGGGGGCGAACTTCACTAACTCGGTCAACGTAAAACAAAAAAAAATTAAAAAATACTACATATATACTAAAAAAAAAATCCCAAGGGGGGCGACCCCCCCCCCCCCCCCTAGATCCATCCCTGCCTCTAAACCTCCTTAAGAAGAAAAACACTTTGGTCAAAGAAAATTGCAAAAATTACTCTGGCTAATTTGGTCGTAGGTGTAATTTGTAAGCCTGTATTTCCATGGGAGAGATGAGGACATGACCTTCACGTGCACCATCTGCAAAATGCCCCTTATAACCAAGCATCTCTGTGTCTTCATGCAAAAGATTCAAAGATGTGGGAATTGCATTCGAAACGGAAAGACCCTTGAACATGTCAAATAGGTTAACTGGCACATCAGCCACACGCAATCAGACCTGTCACCCTTCCGACAATACGAGGAGTCCCAATGCCGCCACTGGAAGATGAGAACAAACTTAGGCACTTCCTCAAGTGAGGCTGCTGGGAAAAATTTAAAGGGCGAGGCACCTTGAAACTTAGGATGTGCAAGTCACATGGAAGGTTGGATGCCAATGGAGAGAAGGATCTTGGGGGAGGCTGTACAGAGATTTCATGTGCTTTCTTGGATATAAATGTGTTGAGGGGGTAGTTTAAGTGGGAATTTATGAGATGAGATAAAAGGGAAGGGCTTAGAGGGTGATGATTAGTAATTGCAGGAGCTATTGAAGCGCTAGAAGAAGACTCTACAAGGATGTGGAACACAACATTCATTGGCCGATTGTCCATCACCCCCTGTCCAAGACCACGCCCATCATCCCACACCAATCGCCGGTCCAGCATTATCTCTAACCATCCATCTCTAAGGCTTGCCACACCTAGGGACTGCCGGGTGTGGACAGAGAAGCGTCAACCATCCGGTCCCTGTATAAAAGCAAGAGATGGCATCGGATAATAGTTCCCTTGAACAGGGATCTTATCATACGTCTCTCTACGGCTCATTCGGAACCCATTTAAATCAGAATAGAAAACCCTTTGGTTATCAATATCAGTTCTGTACCTAGCTATTAGTTCTTTGTTGTTAAAATCACTGCCAAGAAGCTCCACATGGTACTTCTTTTCGATGAATTTCCTTGTATCGAGGAACTGTCACCACCACCATAATCATATATGCGAGTGCTATGGGAAATTGGAGCTTTGTCCCATTGTGTCTTTGGGAATGAGTAAGCTTCCTGCACCAAGTGACCCACCGAGATAACCATCGACCCACCGGCTACAAAAATGGGCTGAGCATCGCCGTTTGGTTTGAATAGGTAAGCTCCACTCTCAGTGCTAGAGTACATATTTCCTCCCCAATAACAACATTATGGCGACCATTGGTATGACTAATTCTCTGTAACAATCCTTCATGCTAAATGTCAATGTCTGATGCCGAGTACTGATTATTGCTTCTTCACCCTCCATTCTTGAGCAAGTATATGGTTTGGGACAAGAAATATTGGAAGAAGGCACGAACCATTTGACCTCTGCTGGTGTGGCCTTTTCACAACCGGCAAACCCATTAGCGACATAATAAGTTTGCAACCCTAATGGGGGGACCGAAGCTTTCCAGTATACACGATGTCTACAGAGAATAATGTTTCATCCTCCTTGCTGCTGTAGTGTTGTTGCATCTCTGGAGATATCTGGCTTCTCACACATGTCCAATTTGAGTCCAAGATTGTCACCTCAGGTCTGTCAACAATTACCATCACAACTTCATGTCTTGTCTGCTCTAGTGGATTAAATATCACCACAGTCTGGACTGTCCCTTCATGAGCAGACATGGCTTTGTGCACTGGCTGAGCATCGTATTTAGATCTCACTTGTGCAGCCTCAAACTGAGATGGGTTCTGTTCATTCTTTTCATGGCGAATCCCAAGCAACACCTCTACGGCCTTTGACATGAAAATTTGAAGATCTTGCAAAGCTATGTGCATTCTCACCCCATAATCATTAACTACGTGGTCCTTAGCTGTACCAGTAACCCCATCATGACGTTGGAACAGCGCTAGGTTCCTCCTAGCCGCTGCTAACTTATAGGAAAATCCGGTAAGTAACCGCTCACATTGTGGTTTCTGACAATGACCTAATAGGAAAGCCATCATCATATCAGCACCGCGGAGGGTTTGCTCCAACACACGATCAACAGCCTTGAAGAAAGGCCGAGAAACATAATAACCACTCCAGTAATCTTGCTGTCTGTCAGCATATGTGAAGAAATCGCCTGAAAGAGAAGGAAACCCACCAATCTCAATAGAACCAATCTCATTTGGACGGGAGTAATTTACCCTATCAGCCTCTTCACGAAGAGTCCGGAAATAATCTTCCAAGGTACCAAATTTTGCTTCTGCAATCAAGTCCGGATCAGAATTGATATAATCAAGCAGAAGCTGATAATTCCTGAACTGAGCTTCAGCCTCATCAACAGTGACATAGCAGAAATCATCTCCGAGGGGAATAAGAAGAGTATTTGTGCGATATAGTGTTGATTTCTTTCTGTATTGATCCAGCAGCTTTAGTGCTCTTTCTTTAACATTTTCTGGTGTGGTCTCCTGTGGATATTCTCCCCAAGGGCAGCGCTCATACGTAAAGCCATAGGTTCTAGCAAAGTCAAATTGAAAGCATATTGCAGGCTCAGGCCCACAAGTATGTGGAATATCATATGAATAAAAGGGCATCATATGAGCAAACATGTCAGTTGTTTCTTCAGCATCCCAGCTCTGCCGCCATACGAATTCTAAATTTCTATACAAAGCCAGTTCCTTCTTCAATTCATAATGTGTCCTCTGTATGAGCATATTCTCGAAACCCATACGACGAAAAAGGTATGCCATTGTTGGAGAGTATCCGAAAAGATCAATCACCCACGAATTTTTTGGAACAACACCGCAAGTTTCATTAAGCCATAAATTACCCTCTGTTATCTGGTAATAGATTCAGAAAACAAGATCCTTAGCACAGCTTATAGGGACAGCATGTGATATGCATGCTTAAGTACATATATAGTTATTAAGAAATCCCAGCTATTTCGCTGGGTTTACAAATTATTAAATATGAATAAAAAGTTAAAAAGAACGATTTACTTAAAGCATATTATGGAAACTAGAATGAGATGACATCCATTATGCAACAACGTCACAATTTTCAACTCAGTAAATGAGAACCGCAACATTTTGGGCCCCATATAAATCTCTATCTAATTCTCCAGTTGGCATCATCTGTTCAGCTTATTACTTCAGTTTTCAATTAGAAACTCAAAGCAAAGAAAGTTGGGTGGTATCAATAAAGCAGCCCTATTATGTGTAATCAAAATATGCACTTATGAACTAGACAATAACTAATGCCAAAAAGGTAACGCGTAACCACAAAATAAATAATTATATATCGAGCCAGCAGCTTTAAAAAAAGCAGGAATAAGAAGAATGTGAGTAAAAACAAGAGAATTATACACTTTACCTGTTCTATGATTGCAAAGTAGTGTGAATTAGCCTGTAAAAAAAAAAGAGAATAAAATAAGCTGCAGGTGCACAAGCAAGAGAAATTCACAGATGAATGAAAGACAATTGCAAGGAAAATGATTCCTTGACGAGAAAACCAAATATGAAGAGCAAAATGCAAATAAAGTTCTAAAGATCCAAGGGTCCCAGTAAAATTGACATAACGTGTCCAAAAGATTATTATTTTAGTCTAGCTTTCCGAACGCGCGCCAGCACAAGAACCAAATATGATTACAGTTTTACATGTAAAACCAGCTAATCAACTGTTACCAGACAAATAAACCCATTTTTTCAAGAAGCTGGAAGCCTAGAACTCATTCATTATGGTAAATTTTACTAAGAAAAATGTCAAATCGCCACTGTGATCCGTTAAAAACATGGCTTTCTGTTCACCATTCCCAGATCCCAATGGGAAAAAATATGAAACACTTGAAGAGAAAAAATTATTACTTGCATACCATTGCAAAAGTGTCATTACGTTAACAGCACAGGCTTACCTCATCATTCATCACCCAACCACGTCCTACGATTTCTAGTTCTCCATTCTGTACTAAATTGATGAAGGATTCTTTCTTTGCAGCTGATGCATCCCTCCACCATCTCTCCAAATAAGACATTTCCTCCCATATAAACTTGCGGCTCCTATACACCAATACCCAGAACGATTAGCGGAAGAAATCACATTAAACATTATGAAATGGAACATAACAAAATGTCCCCAAAATTAACTTAGAAAAGAGAATCAGAATTCCATGGGCAATTTTTGATCAGTAACGAAACACTTGTAGTTGCAACATGAAGCACTAATGAGAACATCGAAGTGAAATTGATATTCAGGTCACTAGGTCAGTTTCCTTTATTCACCATATTTGCATCTGAGTCGTTGATTAAACATTTGTATTGTGAGGACGCAACCTGTGTAAATCCAACCTGGATCATTATGCGAATGTGGAGTCCTGGATTGCCAGCGATTTAAAAGGCCCCACGGTAGACTAAAAATGACATGAATAGAAGGGTGTAAAAAGACATTATGGTTCCAAGAGCACACTTGGTACATTTCATAGAGTAGGAACTGAAGATATTAATAGAGGACATCATAACGTTGAAAGATCATCTCAAGGGTTTATGTACCAAATCCTTTGTTGTTGGTGCTTTGATTCAAAACTTACTTGAATGCAAGCTCCTTTAAGCTTTCATTCCACCCTTCTAGGTGCTGATCCAAAAGAGCATGTGCCCTAAAACATACCTGGAACACATTTGGTGATCATAATATTAGTTCCAGCATCACAACCCCAACACTCCAACATGGTAGATGCTTACAGATCAGCCACATAGATTAGTAGTGGGAGGAAGTTCATAAAATATCTTGTTCATCTCACTCTTTTTTCCTTTTCCTGTTTGGAAAGGGAAGCGAGAAGATATCATAACTCTGCGTTTCCCTAGTAGCATGTGCAATGCGTGAGGAAAACAACTGAGCCGCATTCACAACTGAGCCGAGTTGCCTTTCACACTTTCTTTGTGGTCCCTAAATTGTCTGTTTTTATTGAAAGAACTGTGAGGAGAGGCTCACAATTTTTGTTTTATTTGTATGAAAAATCTCAACACGTATTCATTTTCAAGATGACCAAGTCGTATGTGGAGATAAATAATGCACAAGAGTAATACACAAGATGACATAGTCCATAATTAATACACACACCAGCCAGGGAGAATGTTACCCAGCCAGAAGATATCATAACTCTGTGTTTCCCTAGTAGTATGTGCAACGTGTGAGGAAAACAACTGAGCCGAGTTGCCTTTCACATTTCTTTTTGGTCCCTAAATTGTCTGTTTACATTGACAGAATTGTGAGGGGAGTCACATCTTCGTTTTATTTGTATGAATAACTTAACATATGAGGCTATTATATATCTCGACACATTCCTTATAAATAACTTGATACCTATGAGGCTATTATATATCTCAACATACTCCATAATTCATACAAACTCCAGGGAGATTAACATACTTCATAAAGAACTCCATACCCAGCGGGACTTGGTCAGTCCCAAAGGGTGAGTATATCTGCAACTGTACCTTATTATTTATAGACCCAGTCAGGAGTCGCCCAGCCTTCCGTCGTCGGTGTGGGAACTGATTCTAATTAGTGAATGCTTACTTTCTCCATTTCTCTGGCCTGGCTTCCTTCACCAACAGCTCAGCTCAGCTCTTTCACCAAGCCCGACGCCGCTAACAAAATCCGCCGGATTTCCTATTGCGTTTGTCGATCGGAGGGAGGGACGTTCAGCTCCTCTTTCATGAACTCGTATCTGTCGATCGGAGGGAGGGCTGTTCATACTGAACTGAGGAGATGTTCACATTTTTAATTTTTGTCTATTAAAACTCTAATAAATACTACCTATCATATAATTCCTTCATTTTTATAAATTTTCACTTGTGTCTAGCATCAGATGAGATGAAGTTTAAATATATCCATTTCTTTTGAAATATTTTAGAAATGTGATGGGGAATATTTAAATTTCGTCCGAGTTTTTGGTTTTATCGGATATTTTTTTAATCAAACACATAATTTCATTTCAGACGTTGGAATGAGTAATAATTTTTCTCGCTCTATTAATAAAATATAGTTAGAATATAATACTTCCATACTTCAACTAATTGATAATTCCATACTTCCATACTTCCATTTAGAATTTCATAAACTTTAACTAATTGAGCCAATTTCAGTGTTATCGAACTGGCCATGAAACTCATAGAGTTTGTTATTTTTGTATAGTATGACTTGTTTGAGTTTAGAACCTCTGGTTTCATGACATATTCATGTTTTAGATTTCAACCATTCTTGTGGTACACATAATTTGCACACATTTGACAAACTCTTCTATCTACACGGATAATTGTTGCATTTTTATAAACGAGTTGCCTGCCCACAGGTGATTAGTGGATGTACACATTTTGTGTATATTTTACACTCGTCCGCGTATACAGAGAATTGTTGTTTGTTTCTAATTAACGAGATGTCTGTATATACAGAAAAGTGTGCTTAAATTATGTGTACAAAAAGTAATTTTCTTGACATTTTGAGTACATCATTATTATTTTATTTTCTTATGCATATCATTATCCTCTATTATTTAGAGCGAAGCTGGTATGATTTGATTTGTTTTAAGTCTAGTCATGTCCAATCAATTTAAGTTAAGTCTACTCATATTTTATGTGATTTTTATCTGAAATATCCAAGTATGTGGGATATAACATAACCCACTTACAAAAAATGTGAAGTCATAAAAATATAAAGTGTTGTTTGCACTTTATCACCACAAATTAAAAGCTCAATCCAAATAGAATCACTTCTTTCATGAGGTGGCAACATGCAAAAAATTTGGATGTTACAAGAAATACTAACTCTTTCCGAAAATTATCACTGAATCGTACTGATGGAGATTCTTATGTTCAGGAAAGAAAAAGTTTTATGCAATTGAAACCAAAAATGAATTTAGGAGGCTAATTTAGAAGTTTTACATGGGTTGATGTTTGAGATTATATTATTGAATTATTTTAAAGATAACATAACACGATGATTAAGATAGAGTTTTTAGGTTGTTAGGTTCGTCTATGTTGTTAGGTTTGTCAATTTGTTTGGGATTTCAGCCTTTTTTATGTCTATGTTTGGATTCATGGGGACAGGGATGGCTGTGTCAAACCCGCTACATGGTTAGCGATTCGCGTTGCTCTTTCAGGGGTGACCGTCTCTAAGTCTGATCATTGAATTTACAGTCGTAGTTTTTGGAATTTAGTTGGTGCCGGTTTGTTTTTCCTTTGACTGATGTAATGATCCGGAAATTTATGATATGAAAGAAGGCTAGTTGACGATAAAAAACTATTGCAATAAATCAGCGCACAAGGCGAACTTGTCGTGAGTAAATCAAAGGCAATGTATGTTGTCACAACTTGCTTTTTAAAATTTCCATTTTCCTTCTTTTTATTATCCAACAACATTGACAAAAATGACAAAATATGTATGAATAATTATGATAATTCTAATGTAAAATTCAATTGTACATAAATACAATTACTAAAAATTATAATAAACCACTCTATATAATATGTCATGATTTTATCCACCATCCTTATTTGAATAATATATATACCATTATTTGATACTCTCTATCTATCTTTCATAATATAATAACAAAATGATTCTTCCTCAGCAGGTTGACACCAAAACCAATTGGGTCATTTCTTTCCCTAGGATAAAATAAAACCTCTTGGGATAGATTGCTCAGCAAGTTCTCGATAAAACTCTTCTAACATGGACTGATGGACATTAAATTAAATGCAGTGCGTAGCCCGGTGTTTCCAGCTTTTCACATTTCAATGCATTTTCCAACCTTTTTGTATTCCAACGCCAATAAATAAACATATATTCAAAGTTACGTTCTGATTTTTCAACTTTTAACAAATTAATTAATTAAACACAACTTATTTTTACTGATTTTTTCCAGTTCCAATTCGCACAAGTTTTATGGGAGCTGTCTACATAAAACTTATCTGACATGAATATAAAAAGGTTACGGAGTCTGCCGTTTGCAATTTCATGTTTCTGAATGCATGCTTGTTCATTTTTACTTAATTTTTGCCCAATTTTTGACTTTTTAATCTTAAGCATTGTTCTTTTATTACCAAAACTATCATAATTGCAATTTAAAAAATTACAGCCATTTCAAAATAATTATGATTTCTATAATAAATATTCAAATAAATTGTTGAAACATACTCCATATTTTTTTTGGAAAAAGAAAATTTTATTGAAAAAAGTTAACATTACAGAGAAAGAAAATACAGAAAAAGAAAGATAAAAAGAAAATAAAAGAAAAAAAACGATACAGAGAAAGAAAAGACTAAAACTACACCCACGGAAATTCTTTTGACTGAGACCTAGTAGTCATGTTGTGCCTCCTTTTGTTCTTTTGAGATTTCCTGTGGATTTTTAGTTGCATGTTTAGGTTTTCCGTTGGCAGGCAATTTTCTGAAGTAACAAACTTTGATTTCCTGCAGATTGCTCTGTTATATTTTGATTTCGTGATTTCTCCTGGAGTTGAGATAGGGGGACGACGATCGCTTTCAGTGGCATGTCCCAGAAAGTCGTCCATAAAAGAAGAATCATCTGATTGATAAAAGTTGTCTGATGCGTCTGAGTAAGCCTGAACAAGCCTGTGCCGTTCTACTAGAGTTGGAGACCTTTGATTCTCTGAGTAGGCTCCTTGAATTTGGGAGTCGAAAATAAGTTTAGATATTGATTTTGGCTCCTCTGTAACTAAAATGTTTTCTTCTAGCCAATCCATTGTTGTCTCCTGCACTAAATTAGCCGGTCCAATAAAATTAGAGAATATTGCCATGAAATTTTTTAAATTGGAGTTTTTTGGGCCCATGGGGATTATTACGAAGCTCCCCTTTTCATTAGCAATCTTCACATACCGGCCTGAGTTTTTTAAATTTGAAGAGACCGTGATGGAACCAAATCTTCTGCTTTCCCTAAAATTATCTGATCCGGTGAGGTGGTTTATAAATCTGTAGATGTCGGGTGCTTGCTCTTTTTTGAAATTAATCTTGCGCACCCAGGATTTTTTAATTTCAAATATGACAATTTCATTTTGTCTGTCTGCAAATCTAAATGATTTTGATTCAATCTTGACGGAATCAAAGCCTTCCTCTCCAAAAAAGTGAAAATTTTCTTTAATTGAGTCATCCGTCAATGCTAGAATTAAATCAACGGAGTCCCTATGGTCACTGATATCTGAGTCAATTATTGACGTATCTAAAGTGTCTCAGAGTGTAACCAAAGGGGGATGAATGGTCACCACTTTGTCTCTATCCATCCGAACGAGGTCATCCCATGTGACGGTACCCCTGGTCTCCACTGCGTACTGGCCCCCCCTTTTCACCCACAAGTGCAGCCGATATTGTCTCCTTGACAGGCTGGCTTTCTATGATTGCTCCGTCGGACCCTGGCCCTCAGGAAGATGGCAGCGCAGCTGTAGGACACTTGCTACTATAATCACATTTCTATCAATAACCTTTATTTAAGTAATTAATATGTAATTATTTCAAATAAAAATAAAAGCAGAATTTCACTGGTTAATTAGTTAATACATTATAGGAGAGCTCTCACTTCTCTCTAAAAACCTAGCGGTCATCTCCCCTCTTTGTAGGGGTTGAAATGTTCCGCTGCCCCATCAATATGGGGTTGGAGCGGCAGATTTTTTTTATTTTAATTGTAACTATGTCAGAGGAGATAACGTTGACGGATGAACAAATTGCAGATGGAATTTTGTTTCGGTGCTGGATCATGAAGCCTTGGTCAGCCGCTTCGACTGTGGTTGAGTTTGTATTCATCCATATTGCAAGAGCTCGTCCTCCTCCAAAACCACCTCCATACCAGGAAGAATTTTGTAGAAAGATTTTATTTCTATATTATTTTCTCTTTAACAGTAGTACTGTAGTACTAACTTTAGTTTTAATCCGAGTGGATTTGGTTTCAATGTTTAGATTTTCGGAATTCTTTTGATATGAAGGTGATAGAGTATATGGGCCTGGACCCCATGGCCCACATACTCAAGTCAACGATGACCAGAACAACACCCACGTGGCCCCCTTCGGCCAGTGGGTCCGCATCGGCCAGAAACCAAACCGGCTCAGGAAGCACGCATGGACTTCCAGGACCGCATCGGCCATGGGACCGCATCGGCCAAAAGTGTACCGCATCGGCCAGGCCTCGTCCTAGCAGAATGCATCTCTCTACTTTATTTGCTAAGTATTGTACTCGGCCCATTAGTGGCCCTATTTCGCCCAAAGAGGGCATGATTATTGTAATGGGCCTCCTAAGCCCATGGCTAGGAGCCCAAATCCATATTTTTACCTATAAATAGACCCCTTGGGGCTAGTTATAGGGGGTTGAGAAATATAATTACTCACTTTCTCTCTCTAGCTCTCACTTCTCTCTAGAATTAATACTCTATCATTTGGTGCTTTCATTGAGAGCTTAGAACAGATCAAGTGAGTACCCCTCGTCGCTACTAGACGCAATAGAATGACAAGAACTAGGTCAAAGAACACCGGTAGGAACGCCCCTCTGAACCAGGAAGGGCAGGGAAACGTTGCTGACAACGTCCCCAATGACTTCATCAACCAGGATGAGAACGCTCAGGAGATCGAGCACGCGACGGCTGACCTTCGCGTCCAGCTCAACAAGACTGCCCCAGACGCCCGCATCGGGCTCGAGGACAGGCGCAATGCTGATCGCGCTTCGGGCCAGCAGGCCTCTAACCCTGCTGCTCCCCAGATCAACCCGGCCGCACTATCGGCCATTGTTGCGAGCATCCTTCAGGACCCC